TGACGCCACGGCACTCTAGCCCGGGCAACACAGTGAGACTTTGTCTCAAAAAAAAAAAAAAAAGTGGAACCTAATTCCTCTCTCCTTGCATGGGGGCTGGAGTTAGTGACTCATTTCTAACAAGTAAAGTGGTAGTGATGGCGTATAACTTCTAAAACCAGGCCACAAAAGACACCGAAGCTTCCATCTCGGTATTCCTCTATCTCTTGGATCACTTGCTCTGGGCGAAACTGGCTGCTATGTCATAATGACATTCAGGCAGCCTATCGGAGAGGCCCACATGGCCGGGAACTGAGATCTGCCACTGGTCATGTGAGCGAGCCATCTCAGAAGCAGATCCTCCAGCCCCAGTCGAGCTTTCAGATGACTGCAGCCCTGGCCAACATTTGACTGCACCTCACGAGAGACCCTGAGCCTGACCCACCCGGCTAAGGTGCTCCCAATCTCCTGAGCCACAGAAGCTGTGAGATAATAAATGTTGGTTGTTTTGAGCCATTAAGCTCTGGGATCCATCGTTACACGGCAATAGATAGCTCTTTGGCCCTGGCACGTCACTTAATTTCTCTGAGCCTCCATCTCCTTATCTATAAAATAAAGATATTAATTCCTATCTTACAGAGATGTTGTGATAGTTAAATTATACACATTATCCATATTAATATTTCAGAACCCTTTTCAGCACTTAAAATTGAGGACCCTGAGGAGCTTTTATGTGGTTTTTATCTACCATATATCATAACATACACCATCTTTTATACTAAGGTGAGAATCTCGCCCTGCATTAGAGAAGAGCTATCATGTAACATCTGGTCAGCTGCAGATGGACCAGCGGAGAGGGGTGGATGTACAAACTGCGAGTCATTTTTGCTTGTGCAGAACCATTCGTATTTTCCCCAAGACTGAATGGGCAGCTCAGAGGCTTTTCTTAGAATTTTAAACTGAGACATTAAAAAAACATTTTATTTATTATGTCATTTAACAATAATAAATCTATTTCATGGTAACAAAGTAACATATTTTCCAAAATAAAAAACATTAGAAGAGTGGCACTGTTCCATGTTTTGGCAAATACCTTGAATATCTGGCTTAACAGGAGTGGCTGCCTCCCACAGCTGCGTCTCCGTCCATCACTGCAGTATTGTCTTTGCACAGATACGTGGCTGGTAGAGGGGGGACCTTGTGCCCCCTGAAAGGGTTTCAGGGAACCCAGGGGCTCTCTGACCACACTTTGGAAACCCCTACTCTGTTACAGCATCTGGTATAATTAAGTGTGAAAGCGAAACCTGTTATTACTATTTGGAAATGTTTCATCTACGGAGAGGCCAGCACAGACCTGCATGTGACATAAGAGCGTGCTGAGCTGGAGCAGGGCTCAGGGCGGCGGGCAGGATGAATGTGAGCTCTGGCCCCAGTCCCCTCATGCGTGCGCTGGCAGCTGCCCAAACAGGCGGGCCCCCTGGCCACACCTCTTCCTCCCCCAGGGCAGTTTCTCTGCTTAAACTGTCTTAGGAGAAAAGATCTTAAAGACTAAAAAAATCACTGAATGCCATGCACTGCTACTCTCTAGGGCTCCTCCAGCTCTAACTTTCTTTGCGTCCGTGAAATGCGTACGATCAAGTCAGCGGCAACTCCCATGCGGCCAGTAGCCCTGCCGGTACAGCTATGGGTCATGCGAAAGTGACAGGGACAGACAGACTGTAGGACCCTTGTGGCTGAGTCCATGGAGTCCTGCGATTCCAGCTAGAAACAGGTGCTGGCACTTCACCCTACTTGACCACATCTTACTCAGATCTATTCAATTATTAATTCTTCACATTTTGCCAAAAAAAAAAAAAATACAACATACAACACTCTAATCTAGGGCAGTGCTCTTGGAGCGGCAGGTGGCAAGCTGGCACCCACCGAGAGCAGACCTCATGGAGAGGGGGACCCTGAGGACTGAGCACCCACAGCCCCAGGCCCCTCAACTTACTGAGAGCTGAATCTGAGCGCAGTGCCTTTTCTTGAATGACAACTGAAAACCCTCCAAGGTTGATCCTTCCGTGGCCTTTTTTCTCCATTTTTTGCTTCCTAAAAAAGGTGCATTAAGATCCCATAAACTTTTAGTGTACTTCTACCTGACATAGGGTAAGTATCAGTGAAACTGAAATGTTGACTTTCTTGTGTCGGAGCCCGGAACAAGGTAGGAGCGGCTGCCGTCCTCAGCACAGAGGCCCCACTGCCTGCCTTGCTGAGAGCTTCCCTGTAAGAAATTGCACCCCACACAGTTTGGCCTGGTGAGAATATGTACACCAGACGTGAAAAATAAATGTTTTGTTCTGCAGAGGATAATATCTGATCATCATACACACACAAAACAGAAATTTGAAGTATAGGAATTATAAAATTTGGAGTTTTCCTTATATTTATGTCTCAAAATCAGTTCTTATCAAGGAAAGACGCTATGCTATACATCAGTACTGGTCACGCAGCTTTGGCTCTGTAAATACAAGCTGAACGTATTCAAAATGCACAGCGAAGTGGGTTTTGTCCGGTGTCTGCCCAGTTTTGTCTGATTGTTTAAATAAGGTGCATCCACGTATGAAATACAATGTCTGCGGGGCTAAAGGCTCCGGGAGCACGTGCAGTTCACTTTCGTTGTCTGCGGCCACCAGGGGGCATGGGAGAGCAGCAACTGCAACTGACATTTATCAGGAGCCTTCCTGTGACCTGCCTGTAGCTTCGGCCTCCCTCCTCCACAGAAATTCTAACTCCTCTAAAGGAACTCTAATGAATAACAGTTCTTAACAAAGCTCTTGCTCAGCCCCTGGGAACCAGTAACAGCCCCCAGGGAGAGCTGCTCATTCTTAGTGTGGAGGGCACCGTGCCGAGCATATCCTTGCACCAGTAAGGCTGATTGCCCAGGGCTGGGGGTGGGGCAAATGCGGCAAATGCATGCTCTGTGCTCATCCAGCTGTGCCTGGGCCTGCGGCTGGGGGTTCCTGGGGTTGGAGCTGAGAAGCCAGGTCTTTTCCTTCTTTTTGGAAAACCTTGTTTTCCTTTTGGTTCCGTATCTCCTCACACCTCGTTTTCTGTCTCCACCCTCCTCCTCTGGGGCATTTGAACATCTGCTCCCCAAAGTGGGAAACTTGGATCTCACGCAAGTGGGTGCAGTCCAACACATGACTTTTTCTGTTTTTAAACTCCTTCGTGCACTAAAATCTTCTAGCCAAATGTAATTCTACTGGAGAAAGACAGTTTTTCAACAAGACAAAGTAGCTAAAGTGTATTCTTAAATCCAAAATTTTGCATCAGAAATAACATAAAGGGATAAGCATTTTATGTTTTATGTATTACTTATCCACATATATTAACAATTTACAAATATCCTGCGAATAGTATGTACATCAGCAAGCTTCATAAAGAACACATACCATCAGAGAGATATTTAATCTTCTAACAGAGAAAAGTCTAGTTCTCCCTTAAATTAATCATTCCTCAGGAATTACGTAGTTTACCAAGATTTCAATTCGTAAGTCATGTACTAAATATATCTCCTCATCACTCCCCAGCAGTGGACTCACTGCTAGACCTGGTCGCCACTCGGTTGTGCTCTTCTTTGCACCTTCTCCATCATAAAAAGTACATTTTGTCTGGCACGCTGGTCCCTGTGTTGGTACTTTCGTGGTTCTGTAGGGTCTAGACTAGGAGTTTGGAAGAGAAATATTTAATATCTTGATGCTAATCAAATATTTTATAAATGTCAAAATATTTTTATTATACTTCATAAAACTTTTTTAAAATCCAAAATTGAACTCTAATTCATTCAATAAATAAAAATAGTGGGCCTGGGATGACTCGGCGAGTAAGCTGCATTAGTGCCCCTTGCATTTAAAGGGCAGCTCAAAGCTGATGACTGACATGGTGGTTTAAAGTAATGATCCACAACAAATGACACGAGGTCATTTTTAGCACAAACTCCATGCTGTTTCTTTTTTTAGGGGCAGAGACTCAACAGAATGCTAAGCGCCTATCCTGTGGCGGAATGCTTTCTAACAGGAAGCTTCCGTCTTTCAGACCTTGTCATCTGCTTCTATTAGAGTCCATTACGCACATTTATTAGTGGTTGCTCAACAGCTCCTCCCGCCTTGACTCTTGACCCTCGGAAGGTAAATTAGCCCAGCTTTGGCCCAAGTCCACGGTGAGCTTGGAGGTGGCGCCTCTCTTACCTAATACAAGCTTCAAATAAATGATTCTGAATCCACATGGGCTAACAGTTGCTCTAATGAGCATTTTGAAAACATTAAGGATTTCACAGAATGTACAGCTTGTTAGCTCTAGAAGATTTCTTGCTTAGGACTGGGGAGAAGTCAGCCCTGAGAAGAGGGATGAGACTTGTTCCTGGGACTGGGGGGCACAGGTGGGACCCAACAAGGAAGACTTCTGCTCATCATAAGGAGAGAGTAGTGACAGTGGGAGCTGGTATACAGTGGTGGATAATAATCCCCCATCTAGGCAATGTTCAAACAAAGCCTACAGGACCACCCTCCATGTGCCGTGATTCCTAACCAAGGGTGCTTATCAGAACCACCTGGGGAGACTTAAAAGCTGTATTCCCACCCGGGCTCCACCCTCGGCGATGCTGATCCTGTAGGTGGGATGGAGGCATGTGCATTACTTTTCAATCTCCCCTGGTGATTTTGACGTCTCGCCAGGTGAGAACCACTGCTAGAGGATTTGCAAGGTGGGAGAGAGGCTGGGCCGTGTGCCCAGCCCCGAGATCCTTGATTCTGTAACTCAGCCAGTGCCTGAAGTCGGTTGCCGCCCACTCTCATGGGAGTTATTATCCTGGGACGGACTCGCACCCACCCTGGGAATGTAGCAGCCAGAGCCTCACCATTCCAGGCGCTGGCGGCAGAAGGCACAGCTCAGACTGGGTGCCGTCGTCTCTGCATGTTCCTGCGTTCCCGAGGTGCCGCAGACGTCCTCCTGCACCACAAAGCACACACAGCTGTGGGTGTGACAGAGGATGTGACTCAGCCCCCTGGCTGCACACGCGCCCAGCAAGCAGCGCAGACCCGCCTGAACTTGCCAAGCCTCTCTTACAAATGGGGAAACGGAGGCCAGCAGGACAGGAGGAAGGAAAGAGCCCGTGCTTGGTTCCGATGTCTCTCAGAGGGGTCGGTGCCTCTAAGGCCCGGGGCTTACGAAAGGCAGCTGCCACCCTGGTTTCCTCTAACCAGATTGCAAATCTGGTCACAGATGAGAGAATGCGTTTCCCTTTTTCCTTTCCCTCAGTCTCACATGAATCCAAGCTTCACCACAGAATGAACAGATTTAGGAAGATAATTTCTAAATCTATTCATCTGACCACTGGTTAGAGCTCTAAAAGCTTTTCCAAAGAAATGTGTTCAACTGTGAATTAAAATAGGTTAGGGACTGACTAGAGGCCTAAATGCTTGGTTCTATGTTCCTTTTTAAAACAAAACAATTACACTACTGATCTGAAACCACCCACTGCGTATTTTTGACTGTGATCTTACCCTTTATGTAAGCAGATAATAAATGTACTTTTTCCATCATTATAAACAATGCTGGCAGAAGCATTATTTCACACATAGCTTTTTCCACATTTTGAATTACTTCCTGAGGAAACCACTGGGCCAAAGGTTACCAACATGTTCGTGTGACGATACGTGTGGCCGAATTGCTTTCCACAAAAGCTGCACCGATTACACAGCCACCAACAATGTGGACGGCTCAGTGTGACCACACCTTCCTCAGCAGCAGGAATTATCACTTGAAAATGTTTTTGCTAATTTAAGGGGGGTTGGCACCTTGTGTTAATTAGCATTTCCTCTGTGATTAAAGGAGATAAGCATTTTCCCACATGCATGTTGATTGGTTGTATTTCCTACTTGGGACTTTTTAGTTCCTATCCTTTGCTCATTAATTTTTTTGGAGAGTTTCAGCATTTTCTTATTAATAAAAACAGCCATTTGTTGATTGTTCATTATGTGCCAGGTGCTTCTCATACAGCCTCATTCCATCCCACCTTCCGGGCATGTTGTCTCCGTTTTAATCATGAATAATCTGAGGCTCAGAGAATTTAAGCAACTTGGCAAGGCCACACGAGGGTGGGGAACCTGCGGCCCTAAGGCCCCATTGTGGCCTTTTAGGTCCTTAAGTGCGTGCAGCCTTTTGACTGAATCCCAATTTTACAGAACAAATCTTTTTATTAAAAGGGGGGGGGCAAAAAAAAAAAAAATTTTTTTTTTTTTTTTTTTTTTGCCTCCTTTGGTGCTTAAAAAAGAACAGTCTTGAAATCAGAAGGCTGCAGGTTCCCCACCCCTGACTGAGCTGGGATTTGAACCTCTACCCGTCTGACCTGTACGTTTGTGTCCTTAACCACAATTCTGCTCCTTTGTGCATTTGTCAGAGCACGTGATATAACAAAGATCTCAACACTGAACACCATTTGCTCTTAGTATTTTCCCAGATGTCTGCCTTTTTAACACAATGACTGCCACACTAGAAAATTGTTTTTCCTTGGGGTCACAGTGTTTTATTACAAAAATAGAATAAAAACTTTGAAAACAAAATGATCCTTTCTAATTTAATGACAAATTTGTTATTTTTAGTTGTTTTCTGTGTGTGAGTTAATGCAATTTGAAAAATAATAAGGGTAAAGGTAAAGAGATGTGTGAGTTACATATGCTTCACGAGGCCCCGGGCTCAAAACTAGTGTGAGTTAAATAGAACTCACATGGTAGTTAATTTGTTTAAAAAAACTATAGTTTCAGTTTTGCAAACATAAGTTAAAATATGGATGTCATGGAGGAGGTGCAAATGGCCAAGAAACATATGAAAATAGGTTGGATTTCATAAATAGTCAAACAGATTAAAACCATGAGATACCAGTTTTCACTTATCACTTTAGCAAAGGTTAGAAAAAATATCTGGGGCGGGCTCAGGTTGGAGACACCGCCACTCCCAGGCACTGCTGCGGGCCTGCAAACCAGGCTGCAGTTCTGAAGTCGGGGGCATCAGGATTTTCAGTGTGTGCCATTTGACACGTTAACTGCAATCCTAGGTTTTAATTCTAAGGAAATAAACAACTATGGATAAAAGTTTGTGTGTAAAATGAGGTTACCTGAGGCAGTGTTTATAATATCAAATGTCCATCACTATGAGATTGTTTAAATGAGTCAGGGTACATCCATATAATGAAATATGATACAGTAATTAGAAATGAAGCTCTGGGTTTATTCTAAATGATGTGGAGACATGCCCACAATACGACGTTAAATTAAAAAGCAGATCATAAAACAATACATACAGTAAGGCCCCACTTTTGCAAAAATGCATATGCAGGGGAAAAAAACTGGAAGGATATACACTAAAATATTCGCAATGATTTTTCTTCTTTCTACTTTTCTCTATTCTCTGATTTCTTTTGCAATAAGTATACATTGCTTTTATAATTTAAAAAATAGATTTTTTCCCTCCATAACTCCCCTGTGATTTCTTTTATCCCTGCTAAGCTTACAGGGTTACCCCTGCACTTGACTTTAAGGCAGATTTACAGTAGCAGAATGGAGGCAGGTGGGAGTTGGAGACCTGGGCTGTAATATCTTCTGGTTCTTTGCCCTCGGCAAATCTCACCTTTCTAAGCTACTTCTCCTCTGCCGAAAGTCTTTGCAAACTGTAAAGCTCTGAACCAACAGAAATATTATATTATTGTTTACTGCTTATTATACTGTTGCTATAATTTTAGACCCAGAGGTTTTTAACCCCAGTATTTCCAATTCATTCACAATGAATTGATCTCTAGACCCTAGACTCAAAGTGTGGTCCCCAGACCTGAACCAGCAGCGTTGGCGTCACCTGGGAGCTTGTTAGAAATGCAAAATCGCCGGCTCGTGCAGACCCACTGAATCAGCGTGTCCTTTAACAAGATCCACAGGTGATTCCTAGGCACAGTGGAGCTGAAGAAATCCTGGTGTAGGTCCCGGTACTCCTGCCAAGTTTCTCCTCGGTGCTGAAAGCACGGGAAACGTCGTAGCAACAGCAGCAGCTATACCAGCACTAACACGCAGGGTGCCAGGCAAGAAAAGCCAGGTGACCTTGGTGACGCTGATTTTTGGGTCCCAGTCAGCAGCACTGCCTATCGCTAACCAGCCCATGCAGTGGGCAGAGCTGAGCCGAGACCGGCTACAGGACACCACCCTGGAATCAGAAGACAGCGCCGTGGCCGTTTGATCTGGCTGGCCCTGGGCATCCCCACTCTGAGGAGGTAGCTAGTTAAAAACCAGTTTGAATTTTAGAATCACTTCTTGAGCTACCTGGGAGTCTCACTTTGGGGGACCGTTTGGCTTTTCTTTAAGCTGGTGAAGAGTCGTCTCAAGCTTAATTCAGCGCTCCTGGGACTGTGGCAAGGAGCAACCTGAGGCAGAGTGTGGTGTGGCCTCCGCGGCCACTTGACCTTCTTCCGCCCCCGCGCAGCCGTCCTGCCCCTCCCGCCTCCGCCCAGAGGGTGGCACCTGCGGCCGACTCGGTGGGCGCTGCGGGGCAAGGACTCAGTCTGCGGGGCCAGCTCGTGGGGCTCCTTGTTGGAGGGGGCCTCGTGCGGCCCTCCCTGGAGTGTCCCTGTCGTCTTCCACCTGGGCCCCGGCCCCGGGAGGGCAGCCAGGGTGCTCCTTGGGAACCCGGGGGAGCCGCCCAGAAGGACTTTGCGTTAGGGCCGCAGTCCCACCGCGGCGACCCCAAATCAGCGCAGCATCCCCACACCACCCCTAGGGCGCCACGACATCCTGCCTGGAGTCCCCTCAACTTCTCACCCAGCTGCCTCCTCATCCTCCAGGACTCAGCTCAGATCTCACCTCCTCTGAGAAACCTTCCCCCACCACCCCTGCCTCAGTGACACCACCCTACCGCGTTGAGTTACTTTTGGTCGGATCCCATTACTTGACAGTCGTGACAGCTAACACCCAGTAACGCGCTTACTATGGGCCAGGCCCTGTTTTAAGTACTTTACATGCATTAACTCATTCACACGTCATAAAAACCCTGTGAGGCAGGTATGTCCCCATTTTACAGAGGAGGACACTGAGGCACAGAGAGGTTCTGTAACTCTCCCAAGTTCACGAAGCTATTAATAGTAAGTGGCAGAGCCAGTATTTGAACCCAGATAGTCTGGCTTCAGAGTTATGCAGAATGTATTATTATTTCCTGCATAGCACTTTTAATATTATGTAATTATATGTTAATTTTATGAAGTGTATGTTTCACAGAACTGTAAGCATCTTGAGGGCAGGTGATTTGTCTGCCTCGTTTACGTTGTATCCTCTCTACCTGGAAAAGCACTTAGCATATAGCAACAAATGGTGCTGAATGAATGAACAACACTAGCAGTGGGGCTACTTATCACAAAGTTATCATTTCATGACAATTCTGTAAGCTTGGGACGGAGCAAGGAAGAGTAGCCCAGACGGAGGGCGCTGCTGGGCGGAGGCCCAGGCCGCCTCACAGCACCGGGAGCCAGCTGGGGTCCGGGACTGCGGGGTAACAAGCTGTGAGCCCGGGGCACAGCTTGCGAGATTAGTCGTCACTGCCACAGCGGCTCAGGGCTCCCCACACTGAGCACCGACTGTGCACCAGGCATTCCGGGAGTTCAGGGTACGAGGATCAGTACAAGGACACGAGGACAGCGCTGTGGGAACACAAAGGCCTGAGCAGAGAATTCTGCCTGAGGCGGAGCCCGGGTATCAGGGCACGCAAATGACCTGACTCTGAGGCTGGCCCTTGAATGAGGGAGATTTCGCCCAGCAGGTGTTTTGAGGGGGCGAACACACTTCTTTGGAAGGGCTAGCATTTATGTAATCTTCATAATCTTGTCCTTAGCTCTGACAAAAACCTCATTCAAGTTTTGAATATCAGCCCCAAGTTGTGTCTTCAAGTACCGTCTGCAAGTAAAGAGTCAATTTAAGGCAATTATTTAGGTGACTCAGTTCTCAGAATTTTAATTTCTGAGAATTCAGAATCTGAAATGTTCTGATTGTTGAGGCTACAAAAGCAAAATGTGTAGAAAGACAGTGGTGATTGATTTGAATTCCTAATCTTGCACATGCAATCTGAAATAATTTAACTTAAGAGGAGGAAAATGCAGAAGTGGACTCGTGGGAAATAATAATTTCACTGAGTGTGGTATTTATTATTTAGAAGATGGAGTACAAAACTATGAAGAAGAAAAACTATTTCTTCCAGGCATGATCCACAAAGATTTTGCTATTTATCCCAAAGAAATAGCTCTTCAATGGTTTATCAGTTTAAACTACATTGTTACATCCTAAACTAATACAATGTTAAAAAAATCAACCAATAAAGGGTGAGTATGGTGGCTCATGCCTATAATCTCAGCACTTTGGGAGGCTGAGGCAGGAGGATGGCTTGAGCCCAGGACTTTGAAGTTGCAGTGAGCTATGATGATGCCACTGTACTCCCACCTGGGTGACAGAGCAAGACCCCATCTCAAAAAAAAAAAAAAGAAAACCTAATAAAAATAACACGTGAAAAATCTTCTAATTTTTAAAAAGCTGGTTCCATTTTATTTTATTTATTTTTTTATTTTTTATTTTTTGAGACAGAGTCTTGCTCTGTTGCCCGGGCTAGAGTGCGGTGGCATCAGCCTAGCTCACAGCAACCTCAGACTCCTGGGCTCAAGCGATTCTTCTGCCTCAGCCTCCCAAGTAGCTGGGACTACAGGCATGCACCACCATGCCCGGCTAACTTTTTCTATATATATTTTTAGTTGTCCAGATCATTTCTTTCTATTTTTTAGTAGAGATGGGGTCTCGCTCTTGCTCAGGCTGGTCTCGAACTCCTGACCTTGAGCGATCCACCCGCCTCGGCCTCCCAGAGTGCTAGGATTACAGGCGTGAGCCACCGCACCTGGCCTGGTTCCATTTTAAATAATATGATTCATGAAATTTTGGAAAATTAAGTTGTCGTAAAATATTAAAAAAGAATTCAGTGAATGCATGAATTAAGAGTGTACACATACATAAACATTTTTTTCCTGGCACAAAATTAGGCTATAGTTGCTGGATTACCTCATGTGAGAGTGAAGAAGGTCTGGATGCCAAGCCATTCGGGATGCCTGGAGAACTCGCAGGGAGAGAGAGAGCTGAAGTATATTCGCTTTTGTCAATTTTTTCTTTCACATCTTCAAGTAGCATCTCCAACTTGAAGATTTCACCTTCCACTTTTCTAAGTAAACAAACAAACAGGCATCTTCTGGGCTATGAAGTCAGTATTCTAATTAGTAACAACAGTTCTTGACTATAGCGTTGATCTATAGTATTAATGTGGCCTGCCCTCCAGCAGGAAGGATAACAGACGCTCGCCCTGACTGACATCCTATTTATAGTTTCACTCCGAAGGCCTGGGCTCTCATCCTAATTTTCTGTCCATTAGCTGTGTACCCTTGGGTAAATCACTTAATCTTTATGGGCCTCCAATGTCTCAATTATACCCTGGGATAAAAATACTGTACTTTCCTTATCTGGATTTGGTGATTTTGAGGTTCTTTGCAGGGGATTCTAACAGCTATGATTCTATGAAAAAAATTGTTATGCCAATTGAAAAAAGAGGAAGGATATAAAATATCTGAATAATTTAATAAGTGTGTTTAGATCTATGTGTACATGTATACAAATATACATATTTAACCAACAAAGAGAATTCATTTTCTTCAAATCCATTACATTTATAAAAATTTACCTTGTATTAGTCCACAAAGAAAAATCTCAACAAATTCCAAAATATTAAAAATTATGCCACCTTCATTCTCTTATCACTAGAAATTAACAAAAAGATAACCCCCCAAAACCCTGTTTAATTGGAAATTTTAACACTCATCTAAATAACTTTGGATTAAGTAGGAAATAGAAATGGATATTAGGGATAATATACAAGTGGATGGTAAATGAGAGAACAACATGTGAAAACCAACACAATGCAGTCAAAGCAGTACTCTGAGGAAAATTTAAAGTCTTAAAATGCATTATTGAAAAATCAGTAAGTATTCAAAACAGAAAGAAAAAGAAGTATAAAATAGACCCAGGAAAAGGAAGTAGGCAGAAATAAATAAAACTTAAAAGAATTTGATCAATAAACTAAAACATATTTTCTTATAAAATATCTATAAAATAAACAACTGGAAAGTCTCACTGAGAAACATCAATATCATTAAGAATGAGAAAGTAAAAATAACAGGAAAATTTTAAAATCAAAAGAGATTGAAAAACTTCATACCAACACAGTTTAAAATGTAGGTGACATGGCAAGTTTCCAGGAAAATATAAATTATTAAAAGAGGTAGGATTGTGTGAGATATCCAGTTATTTCTTTTTTAAATAAAAAAATAGGAAATACGAAAAGATGAGTAACTTAGAGAAAAATGAAAAAGATTCTCAAAAATCTCTCCCCAAAATGTACCAAGTCCAAGTGAGATTATGAGTGAGTTCTACCAAGACCTTAATTAATAGACAAATCCTGTTATTAGACTCTCCCGGAACAATTCATTCTATAGTTCAACATTAGGATATTTATTAATATGTTCTACTACACTAAAGTAGATTAAACTACTAGATTAAAGTAAAAATGCTAAATAGATTTCTCAATCCCATTTGATTAAACATTCTCCTAAATTAAACAACAAAAGCCTTCATTCTAGAAAACTAGGAATAGAAGGAAACTCTCTTGATGAAGTGTATTTACTTGAATCTACAGCAATCATCATATTTGGGAGAATTCCCATAACTGTTAGGAACATAACAAGAATTCTCTCTTTCACTAGTATTAATTATTTAATATTGTTCGGTAAAACCTAGCAAATGAAGCAATAAAAAGAAATGAGATATATAAGCATTGGAGGGAAGACAAGAAATAAAAAATATTTAGGGGGAAAAACTAAATATTTTCAGATGCTCTGTTTGTCATACCTGAAAACAAAGACAATCAATTGAAAAGCAACAAAACACTAAGAACAGAGTTGTGTAAGATAGCCCAGTACAAAATAAACATA